TGTCTGTGGTCCTGCCACCATCTGTGTCTGTATCTATACCTCCATCTGTGTTTATATCTCTGTTTCTCCATCTGTGTCTGTATTTCTACTTCCTCCGTCTGTGTTTGTATTCCTACCTCCATCTGTGTCTGTGTCCCTGCTCTCCACCTGTGTCTGTATCCTCTACCTCCATCTGTGTCTGTGTCCCTGCTTCCATCTGTGTCTGAATCCTGCTTCAATCTGTGTCTGTATCCTTGCCTCCATCTGTGTTTGTATCTCTACCTCCATCTGTGTCTGTGTCCTTGCCTCCATCTGTGTCTGTATTCCTGCCTCCATCTGTGTCAGCATCTCTACCTCCATCTGTGTCTGCATCCCTCATTCCTTCTGTGTCGGTATCTGTACCTCCATCTGTGTCTGTATCCCTGCCTCCATCTGTGTCTCTATCCCTGCCTCCATCTGTGTCTGTATCCCTGCCTCCATCTGTGTCTATATCCCTACTTCCATCTCTGTCTGTGTCCCTACCACAATCTCTGACTGTGTCCCTGCCTCCATCTGTGTCTATATCCCTGCCACTATCTGTGTCTGTATCCCTGCTTCCATCTGTGTCTGTATCCCCTGCCACCATCTGTGTCTGTATCTCTACCTCCATCTGTGTCTGTGTCCCTACCACATCTGTGACTGTGTCCCTGCTCTCCATCTGTGTTCATATCCCTGCCTTCCATCTGTGTGTCTGTATCCCTGCTTCCATCTGTGTCTGTATCCCTGCCACCATCTGTGTCTGTATCTATACCTCCATCTGTGTCTATATTCCTTGCTCTCCATCTGTGTGTATCTGTGTCTGTGTCCCTGCTTCCATCCGATATCTCCACCTCTGTGTGTCTGTGTCTCTGCCTCCATCTGTGTGTCTGTGTCCTGCTCTCCACCTGTGTGTCGGTATCTCTACCTCCATCTGTGTCTGTGTCCCTGCCTCCATCTGTGTCTGTGAATCCTGTATCTCTACCTCCATCTGTGTCTACATCTGTATCCTGCCTCCATCTGTGTGTCTATATCCCTGCTCTCCATCTGTGTCGGTATCCCTGCTCTCCATCTGTGTCTGTATCCCTGCCTCCATCTGTGTCTGTATCTCTACCTCCATTTGTGTCTATATTCCTGCCTCCATCTGTGTCCATCTGTGTATCTCTACCTCCATCTGTGCTTCTGTGTTCCTTTGCCTCCATCTGTGTCTGTATCCTGCCTCCATCTGTGTCTGTGTCCTTGTATCCATCTGTGTGTGTATCTCTGCCTCCATCTGTGTCTTTGTCCTTGCCTCCATCTGTGTCTGTATCTCTGCCTCCACCTCCATCTGTGTCTGTGTCCCTGCCTCTATCTGTGTCTGTATCTCTACCTCCATCTGTGTCTGTGTCCCTACCACAATCTGTGACTGTGTCCCTGCCTCCATCTGTGTCTGTATCCCTGCCTCTACCTGTGTCTGTATCCCTGCCTCCATCTGTGTCAGTATCCCTGCCACTATCTGTGTCTGTATCCCTGCTTCCATCTGTGTCTGTATCGCTGCCTCCATCTGTGTCTGTATCCCTGCCTCCATCTGTGTCTCTATCCCTGCCTCCATCTGTGTCTGTATCCCTGCCTCCATCTGTGTCTATATCCCTACTTCCATCTGTGTCTGTGTCCCTACCACAATCTGTGACTGTGTCCCTGCCTCCATCTGTGTCTTGTGTCTGGTATTCTACCTCCATTTGTGCTCTATATCCCTGCATCCATCTGTGTCTGTATCCCTGCTTCCATCTGTGTCTCTGTGTCCCTGCCTCCATCTGTGTCTGTGTCCTTGCCTCCATCTGTGTCTGTATCCCTGCCTCCATCTGTCCTCTGTGTCCCTGCCTCCATTTTGTGTCTTGTATCTCTACCTCCATCTGTGTCTGTGTCCCTGCCTCCATCTGTGTCTGTATCCTGCCTCCATCTGTGTCTGTATCCCTGCTTCCATCTGTGTCTGTATCCCTGCCTCCATCTGTGTCTGTATCTCTGCCTCCATCTGTGTCTGTATCCCTGCCTCCATCTGTGTCTGTATCCCTGCTTCCATCTGTGTCTGTATCCCTGCTTCCATCTGTGTCTGTATCCCTGCCTCCATCTGTGTCTGTATCCCTGCCTCCATCTGTGTCTGTATCCCTGCTTCCATCTGTGTCTGTATCTCTACCTCCATCTGTGTCTGTGTCCCTACCAGAATCTGTGACTGTGTCCCTGCCTCCATCTGTGTTGGTATCTCTACCTCCATCTGTGTCTATATCCCTGCCTCCATCTGTGTCTGTATCCCTGCCTCCATCTGTATCTGTGTCCTTGCCTCCATTTGTGTTGGTATCTCTACCTCCATCTGTGTCTATATCCCTGCCTCCATTTGTGTCTATATCCCTGCTTTCATCTGAGTCTGAATCCTACCTCCATCTGTGTCTGTATCCCTGCTTCCATCTGGGCCTGTATCCCTGCCTCCATCTGTGTCTGTATCCCTGCCACTATCCGTGTCTGTATCCCTGCCTCCATCTGTGTCTGTATCCCTGCCTCTATCTGTGTCTGTGTCCCTGCTTCCATCTGTGTCTGTATCCCTGCCTCCATCTGTGTCTGTAGCCCTGCCTCCATCTGTGTCTATATCCCTACTTCCATCTGTGTCTGTGTCCCTACCACAATCTGTGACTGTGTCCCTGCCTCCATCTGTGTCTGCATCCCTGCTTCTATCTGTGTCTGTATCCCTGCCACCATCTGTGTCTGTATCTCTACCTCCATCTGTGTCTATATCCTTGCCTCCATCCGTGTCGGTATTTTTACCTCCGTCTGTGTCTGTATCCCTACTTCCATCTGTGTCTGTGTCCTTGCGTCCATCTGTGTCGGTATCTCTACCTCCATCTGTGTCTGTGTCCCTGCTTCCATCTGTGTCTGAATCCTGCTTCAATCTGTGTCTGTATCCTTGCCTCCATCTGTGTTGGTATATCTACCTCCATCTGTGTCGGTATCTCTACCTCCATCTGTGTCTGTATCCTTGCCTCCATCTGTGTTGGTATCTCTACCTCCATTTGTGTCTATATTCCTGCCTCCATCTGTGTCAGTATCTCTACCTTCATCTGTGTCTGTGTCCTTGCCTCCATCTGTGTCGGTATCTCCACCTCCATCTGTGTCTGTGTCCTTGTATCCATCTGTGTCGGTATCTCCACCTCCATCTGTGTCTTTGTCCTTGCCTCCATCTGTGTCGGTATCTCCACCTCCATCTGTGTCTTTGTCCTTGCCTCTATCTGTGTCGGTTTCTCTACCTCCATCTGTGTCTGTGTCCTTACCACAATCTGTGACTGTGTCCCTGCCTCCATCTCTGTCTGTATCCCTGCCTCTACCTGTGTCTGTATCCCTGCCTCCATCTGTGTCAGTATCCCTGCCACTATCTGTGTCTGTATCCCTGCTTCCATCTGTGTCTGTATCGCTGCCTCCATCTGTGTCTATATCCCTGCCTCCATCTGTGTCTGTATCCCTGCCTCCATCTGTGTCTGTATCCCTGCCTCCATCTGTGTCTCTCCATCTGTGTCCCTACCTCCATCTGTGTCTGTGTCCCTATCTCTGACTGTGTCCCTGCCTCCATCTGTGTCTATATCCCTGCATCCTCCTGTGTCTGTATCCCTGCTTCCAACTGTGTCTGTATCCCTGCCTCCATCTGTGTCTGTATCCCTTCCTCCATCTGTGTCTGTATCCCTGCCTCCATCTGTGTCTGTGTCCCTGCCTCCATTTTTGTCGGTATCTCTACCTCCATCTGTGTCTATATCCCTGCCTCCATCTGTGTCTGTATCCCTGCCTCCATCTGTGTCTGTATCCCTGCTTCCATCTGAGTCTGAATCCTGCCTCCATCTGTGTCTGTATCCCTGCTTCCATCTGGGCCTGTATCCCTGCCTCCATCTGTGTCTGTATCCCTGCCACTGTCTGTGTCTGTATCCCTGCTTCCATCTGTGTCTGTATCCCTGCCACTATCTGTGTCTGTATCCCTGCCACTATCTGTGTCTGTATCCCTGCTTCCATCTGTGTCTGTATCTCTACCTCCATCTGTGTCTGTGTCCCTACCACAATCTGTGACTGTGTCCCTGCCTCCATCTCTGTCAGTATCTCTACCTCCATCTGTGTCTGTGTCCTTGCCTCCATCTGTGTCTGTATCTCTACCTTCATCTGTGTCTCTGTCCTTGCCTCCATCTGTGTCGGTATCTCTACCTCCATCTGTGTCTGTGTCCTTGCCTCCATCTGTGTCGGTATCTCTACCTCCATCTGTGTCTTTGTCCTTGCCTCCATCTGTGTCGGTATCTCTACCTCCATCTGTGTCTTTGTCCTTGCCTCCATCTGTGTCGGTATCTCTACCTCCATCTGTGTCTGTATCCTTGCCTCCATCTGTGTCGGTATCTCTACCTCCATCTGTGTCTGTGTCCTTGCCTCCATCTGTGTCGGTATCTCTACCTCCATCTGTGTCTTTGTCCTTGCCTCCATCTGTGTTTGTATCTCTACCTCCATCTGTGTCTGTGTCCTTGCCTCCATCTGTGTCGGTATCTCTACCTCCATCTGTGTCTGTGTCCTTGCCTCTATCTGTGTCTGTATCTCTACCTCCATCTGTGTCTGTGTCCTTGCCTCCATCTGTACATGTGTCTGTATCTCTACCTCCATGTGTGTCTGTATCCCTACCTCCATCTGTGTCTGTGGATGTATTATTATGTTTATCTGTATCTATAGCTGTGTCTGTGTCCTTGCCTCCATCTTTATATGTGTCTATTCCTGTGTCTCTGCATCTGTTACTCTCCGTTCCTAGATTTGTGTTTGTGCTTATGTGGATCTGTCCCTGCTACCGTATGTGTCTTAGAGTGTCTGTCCCTGCCTCCGACTGTGCCTCTGTCCTTGTTTCTAGATCCGTACCTGTCCATACGTTAGCTCATGCCTTTATAAAAATTGCATTTGCTAAGTTTGCATCAAACAACATTCATAACACAAGTCGTCAGTGTAAAGCCTTTATATGATAGCTTTCCTGGTCCATGGAGGATGTCAGATTGCGCTACTTCTGTGGATACCGAATCCAGACGCCGTTGCGGTGTTCTACATCATCGCTGCATGCTGGGGAATGGGAGATGCAGTGATCCAGACTCAGATTAACGGTCAGTACATTACAAAGGACAAGATGTGATAAGAGCCCATTATGTCTCACGGGATCTACATCATTAGGAAACATTTATAAGTTTTCAGTAAGTTATATTGTGTGCACGTGGTTTAGAGCTAACCTTTCTTCGTTGCAACAAGAAGAGATACAGCCTACGGCTAAGGGCTGAATGTTGAGGTTTTCGTGAAGCGTTTTGATTGTTGAACATAAGCGAGTGTTTGATTCATGATCATTGTCTTAGGATACATATTTAACAATATTAAAGATCTTGAAAACGATCTTCTGTTGCAGATTTGCTCAAAGCTAAAAAATATCTTGAATTTAGACAAATTGGCCCATAAAACGACCAAATTCATACCTACTCCCCATGAACACCAAGACGAACCACCATATTATCATAATTTGAATGAAAGGTCAAACCTCTTGATTGTTAGTGAAACGTTTTTAAACTATCAATAAATCATCAGTAATTGTGCAGATTTGATATAAGCTGAAAATTACTGACTGTATAATATTCAAAAATGCTTTCTTCTACAGCGTTTTACGGATACCTCTTCACGGATAATACCGAGGCGGCATTCGCCAATTATCGCCTTTGGGAATCGGTTGGATTCATCATAACATACGCCTACAACGACTTCTTGTGTACGTACATCAAGCTGTACGTGTGCCTGGCGGTGATGTGTGTGGGTATGGTCGGCTATGCCATGACCGAGGTGCTCGTCAGACGTAACCTATCCGAATCCAGGGATCTCTCAAACAAATGAGCGTGCTTTGTGCACACTGCTACATCAGAAATAAGGCGATTTCTCATGACTACCTTATTTGTACATTAGACATGCGCTATTTGTGTATGTAAGTTTCATATATATAAACATTTGTAAACAGCTCGTAGAAACATGAAAAGCAGTATGAAAAATCAACTGATGGTGCATAGTGAATGGTGAATGTCTCACAACACTTCACTGGTTTGGGCTTTGTTTGTTAGCCATCTGACATGGTCTTAGGTTGATCATTATTATCATCACAATCGTCGTCATCATCAACTTCCACTTCGCCAACGTCTCGCCTCATCAACAGCAATCATGGTTATGGGTTTGTTTTCATATTGTAACAATGTTGCATATATATCATCATTTTGACCAAAATAATCGAGATAATAGTCATCATTTGAACAACTGGTATATTTACATTGTAGGAACTTGTGACTGGTATTCAATCCTTTCCATCACTGCTTTTCGGGGATTCTTGCATATTATATTTCTAGTTTGCCTTTTACGCCAATTGAACCTGTAATAGCTGATAATCGAGATTGGTTATACTCTGGCCTGAAATCTTCTTTTGCGATTTAATATATGACGTGCCAATGCTGATACAATAAGAGGTGAACATCACTTCCACTGATGAAACAGGCTTTGTTCACAGATTTATGAATGTGAAAGGTAGAACGCACGCATTATCAGAACTGGCGATCTTTTATGGGATTATGACAGGTAAAAGAATACTACGGAAGCCTCTACAGGGGTCATGAGTAGGTTATTAATTACTTGTATGTACAAATCTACATGTGGAACGGGAATTGCTTGTACAAACTAGCAATATGTCATATTGTGTGCATCTGTTGAAATGGCAAAAACAAAATGAAGTGAAGGTATGTTTACATGGTCTCTGATAACGATGCTCAACGATTCTGTCATGATTAATCCAAACACAGATTTCAGGTTTTCAGGCACCTCGTGCACGTCGTGCCCATGACTTGCATGCCTCTGTCAGTCCATCATCGGTTTGGGATACTGTCGGAGTTACCCAGTCACTAAGTAACAGGGTATTTCGATTTATACTTAATTTATTGGACGTGTTTTTTTATATGATCGAAACTTGATGCTTAATGGTATGTAGTATCATGCATATCAGTTCTTTTGCCTCTTATGACAGAAATTATAAAGTGTGCCTTTTTAAAACTGTTTCAGTGTTAGTACATTTCCCATACTTTAAAGTGTTGTTATGTAATTATACCGTATATATGCTTTGTGTTGTTTATAAATATACTTAGAGGACATTCCTTTAAACAATATGCACTACTTTGGTTGTTTTTTTAAAATATCGATTGTTTCTAATGCGTGAATACACAATGCCTTGTAGAAAGTGTAACTTGGCACTGCTCCCATTGCCGAAGATATTTGACCACTTTCAAAAGGGATTGTGTATTGATAGCTTATTCAATGGGAGCCGTGCCAATTTACACTTGCCAGATAGATACCTAAAGTACGTATCTAGGCTAGTTGTCAGACTTTCGCTTTGTGGAACCTGCGGTGGCGGAGTGGGTTAGATCGATGACTTTGTGTGCTTGCGATTAGGTGCCAAACGCTGAGGGTGTAAGTTCAAATCCCGAATTTGACTCTACCCTTATCGGTAGCGTCCCTTTTCTACATATATAATCCGTCCAAATTACTTGTCGACAGTCCGGGGAAAGGGAGATTATGTTCTACATGAGAGACTTCACGCCCAGTGTTCTCGAAAGTAATAAACCAATTAATAACAGAGTGCGATATATATATAGTAGACAATATATTTATTTAGTCAATATAACAACATGTATGTAGCATATGTCAAACAATATAACATATTTGTATACATATTTCATAAATCTCACACAATATATTTGTATATTACATAAGTCAAATAGGTATGTAACATTTCAGAATTGAAATGATTCATAAAGTCCATTTCAGTAATCTGAATGTTCAGCCAAGATGAAGCAACTCCGACACATGGTCTGTGTAGTTCGAATTCAAGTCAGTAAGACTGTCGGCAAAAAGGTCGGCCTTCAAGGATCGAATCCTAGCGTCGATGATTCGGTAGCGACGTCTACGGACGGGATCTCTCTGCTGTCCTTGGATCTGCTGGGTTTTAACTTCAGTAGCTGACTGTTCTTTTGCAGCATTCGCACAACCTCAAACACATTCGGATGTGTCTTCATGGCATACTTGATGATTTGGTTGTGCCAACCTTCCAAATTATTGTTAGTTTTGTGTCCACCCATCTGTGTCGCCTTCTCACCTAGTGGTGCGTCTGCAATGACATGAAGCCAGACATGTTCAACTTTACCCAGTGGCACTTAAGGTAGAGCTGCAGCTCGACGCACTAGTCTGTTCACATTGTTGTCTGCCTTGTACTCTGGAGCAAGGCCTACTTTGCCATTTTGACAGTGGTAACAAAATTTTCATGATCTATCATATATACCCAAATGCTAAATGTTTTCAACAGCATTTCGATCATCCTTCTACCCCTAATAGCACAAAATAATTTGTAAGCTCTCATATTTCTTTCCGATTTTTTTGCATGTTAAACTCCAAAATGGTAATCCTTCCACTCACATAACGTAAAATAATAGTCTGTTTGCAACCTTAATTCTCTTACAAATTGTTAAACAGACATTCTCTTTAATTAACTTAATTCATTTACTCGTGATACGAGCATAGCCACCATAGCCACTTGCAAATCTCTCAGCAAACATTTTCTTTAATTAATTAACACCGTCACGGTATGTTGAGCACGTGATGTCGACACTCCGGGTTTTTTATTCTGTCGACGGTTAGCAACATCCTAGTTTTCATTTGTCGACAGATCGGGCTGACACCCTCTATTTATCCCGAAGGGTCGGATTCTGATTAGATTGTCACGTGTCGGCATTTGAGACAGATGTCTGGTCGGAGTCCTCCCATTTATGAGAACTCCCAGTTGTGAGGCACATTAATTAATGGTTCAGTGCACATAGGTGGTTAGGTCTGCCGACATGCCAACCGGCAAAGGCGACCTCAAAAGCACCAAACACAACAACAACATAGGTGGTGTTTCCACATCCCTACAATGAAAGTGGGATCAGCCCAGCCCAGTACCCACAGGAGGCATAGTTCATTGATGAATTGATTAATGAAATAGATTATCAAAGATTATATTTACACAGAAGAAATAGTTCATTGAATATTATATTTATTCAGAAGAATATATAATTATGATAACACATTTTTATTGATTATTATGAAGTTTGAAAGTCATTTTGGTTTAAACACATTTTATTATTATTTATGAAAATAAATTGGGATTGGTGAAGTATTACTGCTTATGTTAACACCGCTCCCATGCAACATAAAATATAAAATGAAATGGAGGATGTGACGTCATCGATATTGACTTTTGCATAAATATATTTTTAAGTACATATAAATACATACAGATTACACCAAATACAACTATTCTCTAATTAGTCATAATTAGAGACTTACAGTTGTGTGTGTCTAACAAGCTATTGTAGGAATATAAATTAATCACGAGAAGGTTGTTGAGTTAATTTCAGTATTTCCCTGTGAAAATTTGAAGGTTGTGTCTTGATGATATAATCGTGGACGGATTCAACTATTTTCTGGTTTACACAAGGAGTAAATTCTTTGTTTCCGTTCAAAAAATTATCCAGGTTATAACGGGTAGTTGTTATCCACAAGATCAACATGCACTGTCTATTAATTGTCTGTTATACTTATCGGCGTTTGGGTCGCTAGATCCGAGCCTGGGGCAGCAGTGAACGATTTGACAAAAACAAGAGCCATAATTAAGATCAATATAAATCTTGTTTTCAGTTTTTGTAATTAGGTTTTAAAATTCTTTGAGACTGCATGGCTCTTTGGAATTTGGTAGGGCATTCCATAAATTTATTGTGTCGGGTAGGAAAGGTTTGGCATAAGGGGCATTTCGACTGTAAATTTCAAAGTTATTTCTTAAACTATAGCTTGTAGTTTCGGAGGCGGAGTAAATCTGAGTAGGTAAATTAATTTCTCTTTGATCACGAAGTTACCTACACAAAGTTTAATTATTAAAGACATTTACCTGAGTATGTTAATCAATTTATCTTATAAAGTTTCATTAGGTTACCTCCACAAGATTTAGTTACATAGCAAATCAGTAATTAGCTAGGGTGAATCCATTCTATCAGACAGGGGAGTATGGTGTGTTTTCGTTGTTAATTACCTACTCCACTGTCTCATAACTGGGAGTCTCACAACTGGGAGTTCTCACAAATGGGAGTAAACCGGTCAGCCTGCAGTATCCCGCACCTCATCCACAATGTCATGCTTCAGTGACCAACCGGCTTTCGTCTAACTTTGATTACAGGCGGTTGGGCTCAAAAGCGGACCGATGAATTGCAATTTAACTCGAAAACTAATAAACATATAATACTCAATGACACGTTGATCATAATCAAAACATCAGACCAACTCTGTGAGTTTTTTAGCAGAATTTATGTCCTAAAAATAAAAAAGTTGTTTAACAAACTATCATTAAAATATTGACACTATTTTCATGGATATACAACTTTTTTATTCTGTATAGGCGACGTTTCGACATAGATTCTAATGTCGTTGTCAAGCAAGTGGTACATGAGAAGTAATTTTGGGTGATATATATACATGAGATGTCTGTACAATAGATGAGGCGAAAATGAGTTGTTTATACAATAGAAGAGGTTGATAACACATGATTAAGTTGGTTGATAGGAAGCCTGTAAAGAAGATGTACATGGTTGTATGCAAAAGAATTAAGAATGTTGATGGGCTGCCAGTAGTGAATGATGTACATAGGTTGTTTACATAGGTGATAAAGGGACTGTTGGGCGGCCAGTAGGGAATGATGTACATAGGTTGTTTACATAGGTGATAAAGGGACTGTTGTGCAGCCAGTAGTGAATGATGTACATAGGTTGTTTACATAGGTGATAAAGGGACTGTAGGGCGGCCAGTAGTGAATGATGTACATAGGTTGTTTACATAGGTGATAAAGGGACTGTTGGGCGGCCAGTAGGGAATGATGTACATAGGTTGTTTACATAGGTGATAAAGGGACTGTTGTGCAGCCAGTAGTGAATGATGTACATAGGTTGTTTACATAGGTGATAAAGGGACTGTTGGGCGGCCAGTAGGGAATGATGTACATAGGTTGTTTACATAGGTGATAAAGGGACTGTTGTGCCGCCAGTAGTGAATGATGTACATAGGTTGTTTACATAGGTGATAAAGGGACTGTTGTGCAGCCAGTAGTGAATGATGTACATAGGTTGTTTACATAGGTGATAAAGGGACTGTTGTGCAGCCAGTAGTGAATGATGTACATAGGTTGTTTACATAGGTGATAAAGGGACTGTTGTGCAGCCAGTAGGAATGATGTACATAGGTTGTTTACATAGGTGATAAAGGGACTGTTGTGCAGCCAGTAGTGAATGATGTACATAGGTTGTTAACATAGGTGATAAAGGGACTGTTGTGCAGCCAGTAGTGAATGATGTACATAGGTTGTTTACATAGGTGATAAAGGGACTGTTGGGCGGCCAGTAGTGAATGATGTACATAGGTTGTTTACATAGGTGATAAAGGGACTGTAGGGCGGCCAGTAGGGAATGATGTACATAGGTTGTTTACATAGGTGATAAAGGGACTGTTGTGCAGCCAGTAGTGAATGATGTACATAGGTTGTTTACATAGGTGATAAAGGGACTGTTGTGCAGCCAGTAGTGAATGATGTACATAGGTTGTTAACATAGGTGATAAAGGGACTGTTGTGCAGCCAGTAGTGAATGATGTACATAGGTTGTTTACATAGGTGATAAAGGGACTGTTGGGCGGCCAGTAGTGAATGATGTACATAGGTTGTTTACATAGGTGATAAAGGGACTGTTGTGCAGCCAGTAGTGAATGATGTACATAGGTTGTTTACATAGGTGATAAAGGGACTGTTGTGCAGCCAGTAGGGATGATGTACATAGGTTGTTTACATAGGTGATAAAGGGACTGTTGTGCTGCCAGTAGTGAATGATGTACATAGGTTGTTTACATAGGTGATAAAGCGACAGTTGTGCAGCCAGTAGTGAATGATGTATATAGGTTGTTTACATAGGTGATAAAGGGGCTGTTGGGCAGCCAGTGGGGAATGATGTACATAGGTTGTTTACATAGGTGATAAAGGGACTGTTGTGCAGCCAGTAGTGAATGATGTACATAGGTTGTTTACATAGGTGATAAAGGG